GACAGCATCAGCATTCCTTCTGTGTGACTTGGGGTCCCACCCCAGGTGTAGACAGACAGATATCCATGTCACTCTGGGAGTGTCACCACTTAGAGTGGTGATCTGGCCAGCTAAACCCTGCCCTGAGCTTGGATGTCTGTATGGTTCATTGTTAGGGTGGCTCCCTCGACTGTGCATACACAGAGCTAAGTGTCAGCATTTGTTTTTTAAATCGGATAAAAAGTCAGAGCCACCAACCATCTCAATGTTTGGCATTGTGCTGACAAAATCTGAAGATGTTTTCACTGAGACCCCCAATGCCATCCTTCCCTTTTCCTTCATCTGGTTAATTAGCTCTTAATGTCTACTTTAGATCCCAGCTGAAGCTCCACTTCTGGGAAGACTTCCCAGGCCTGCCATCACTCGCCCCCCACACTCACATGGCACCAGGCATTTTCCTTTGACCGCATTTCACATCGTCTTGCAATTACTTGCTCAGTGGTCCTGAACTTGTGGGGGACAAAGAGGTGTCCACCTTGTTCGTGGTTCTACCCAGCATGCAGTGCACAGTGCTGGCATCTCATGAGTGCACATTAAGTAGCTCTGGAATGAGTGGTTGGTGGCCTGTAGTCAATTACCAGGTGCTCTTGACCTGAAACTTTCAAGTACCTGTCGTGTTAAGCTTTTCAAGATACCAAATATCATCTTTATTTTTACTGGAATGTTTGTCTCTGTACTTCTGGGGGAAAAAAAAATTGGGAAAGTGAATAATTAATATGATCCAAATGGACTATCATGAGAGTGCTGTGAAGTATGCAGGCCACATATTATCATCTCCATTTTATAGATGAGGAAACAACTGAGCACCAAAATGGAAGGAAACAGGGGGCAAGGACAGCTTCCACCTGCCTTTGGGAGTCAGGTGCTCTCGACTGCAGGCACCACCAAACACCCCATCTCTGGGGGCAGATGACATGTGTCCTCTAGCAGGTTGAGTGGGTTAAGTCGGGCTGGGTCTCATCACTAGCATTTGTAGGGAGGTTCTTCTATTTTACCTCTCATCCTCTTATTGCTTGTCCTCTGGGCTGCATGAAAGTCAAGCAAGATGGATCGCAGCTAAATTAAATAGATGCTGGTGCCTCTGTTTTTTCTAGTTCAGTAAATTGAAGATAAATCATTTTGCTTTCAAACTGATACACTGGGGTTTAGGGTTAGAGATTTTTGTTCTCCTAGTTGGTTGGATTTTTTTTTTTTTAAAGTCTTTTTTTTTTTAATTTATTTATTTGACAGAGAGATAGCACAAGTAGGCAGAGCAGCAGGCAGAGAGAAAGGGAGAAGCAGGCTCTCCGCTGAACAGGGAGCCCGACGCGGGGCTCGATCCCAGGACCCTGGGATCATGACCTGAGCCGAAGGCAGCCGCTTAACCGACTGAGCCACCCAGGTGCCCCGGATTTTTTTTTTTTTTTTAAATAACATTGGTTCCACTCCTGGTTGAGTAAATGATGAATATTTGATTTCAGCTAATTGTTCAGTAAATTTGCACAGCTCACTGCAGGCATCAGTTCACAGCTCACTTCACTTCTAGCACTGCCCAGCACACCATGTCACACCCGCCCAGGCTGGAGTACCTCCAAGCATCAGCATGCATGCACAGCACATGCCCACCAGGCAGAAGGGCAATGTGGAGATCTTTGCATCAACACAGCTCAGGCTGCCATGGGCTCCCAGACTTCCCTGAAGCCAGCACTTTCAGGAAGGCAAACTAAAGCTGGGTGAGTCCAGGGTATCCACTATGTTAGACAATCCAGAAAAAAATTGGTTTACCATTCCAGATTTCAGCCTGCCAAACCAGCTTTAGCACAAGACCACCAAAGCTCCCTTTCCATCATCTTTGAAGAGGTTCAACAAGGAAATAAGTGACGAAATGCTGACATAGAGAAACACCATTCTTGTAAATCCCTAGGACACTTTCTCCCCCAGGGAGCCTTCCTTGCCACCAAGGCTAAGTTCAGGGTCCCTTCTCCAGGATTCCATGTTACTGAGCATAAAGAAGAGGCACTTAGCTCTCTTTTTGTAAATTGCCTGTTACCATGCTGGCCTCCCCAACCAGACTGTGAGCTTCTTGGGAGAAGCGGATTTGCCTTAGTTACCTTTCTACCCAAGCACCAGCTCTTAGCATAGGATCTTATGCATCCCCTGCATTCAATGGCCTGTGTTTACATGCTTCCTACATATATACATGCTGCTCTCAATAAACGTTTATTGAACTCAACCTAAGGTGGCTATGCCCAGGACAGAGAATGTGGGTTTTTTAGGGACCCTAAGAGCCAAACAATTTAAAATCAAATCTTTACCCATGACTTAGTCATGGAGGCCCTATTTACACATTTTGGGTTTTTTCGAGTCTTTCTTCTTCCCTTTACTACTGATCATGTCACTGTCCTGCACCATCCAGAGGTCAGGCCACGTATGATATGTGTTGATGGACACAGGTTGATTAATACAACTACACTCAGAACCATCGTACCCCGTCTGACGTCACCGGTACAGAGAAGCCAAATGACAGGGCCTCAAGTACCAACAGCTTATGTGGGACCTCCCTATTTTATTTCCTCCTCCCAGGGAAAGAGTTTCAGTTGTAACACAAGTGCATGAATTCAAAAGGCCATTGCCACGCATACTTATTCAGACCTGCGTCTGGTGCTCCCAGGGAGCAGGGCCATCAGCTGGATGCAGGGGAGATGGGGCCATGTGCCACCCTCTCCCTGGGCATATCATCCCCTGCTCACCACACTTGTAGGCAAAACCACCTGCCAAGATAAAGCCCCGCTATTGGTCAGCTTCATTTTCACGTCTTCTTAACCCAGGCATGGACCGGCACTACACTCTGGGCCATAGGGCTACGCACGTAAAAGAAAATGTAGGTCTTCCCCAGGTGCCTCCAGGACAAGCCGGCATAAGGGAAATGGTTGAAATCACAGGAATGACATGAGAATACATTTTTTAAAAGGATGAGAGAGAGAGAGGCGGACAAGGATGGGTCTTGGAGAAAGACATGTGACAGAGGGTAGGAGAAGTGGGAAGCATCTGAGAAGGAGCAACAGGAGAGATGAGAGGAGGAGAACACGGGCCTGGCTTCGTTCATTCATCCCATGATACAGCACACCTGGTACGAGGCTCAAGAACACAAGGGACACTGGACTCCACGAGCCAGTGCCCTGCGAGGAGCCTGACAGTCGGTGTGAGACAGAGGGCCAGGGAGGAAGCAAGCGCCCAGGACCAGCTCTGCACGTGGATTCACCAGGGGCTGACATCTTCCAGAGAAGAACAAAATCCAAGGCCCAGCTTTGGGTGGCTCATTCTGGCTGACTTGGAGATTGCTCATAAAAATTTTGACTAGATTAGTTACTCAATAAAATAGTTCACCCTGCCCTGGCTGAAGCCCAGGTTATATTGGACAAATGTCCGATTTAGATATTTGTTACCCATGATTCTACAGTATGAATCAAAATGGACAAAATTCTCAGCACCTCCCCCAAATATACTTCCCACACTGTCCCTCTTTTACTAACACCATCTCCAGAAAACAGGTCAGCCCTTCCATCCAAATAAAAAGTATATGTCTAAAAAAAAAAAAAAAAAGGTACAGGTCTAAACTGACCAGCCCACCTTCCTCCCACAGGGCGATTTGTCTCATTACACAGACCAGGGCAGGCAGTACTGCCTGTGAAGGCCCGTCCCCAGCCTAAGGGCTCGCTGCATGCTGTCTTGCCCCCCCTGGCTACTCAGGCCCCACACCTGAAACGTAGCTCGGATCCTTCCTACAGCTGAGCTTTCTGCCTGGCTGTTGTCATTCAATTATCTACAACAGCCAAGATATGGAAGCAACCCAAGCATCGGTCAATAGATGAATGGATAAAGAAGACATGACACATCATGGAATATTACTCAGCCATAAAAAAGGATGAGATCTTGCCGTTTGAGACAACATGGTTGGACCTGGAAAGTATTATGTTAAGTGAAATAAGGCAGAGAAAGATAAATACCATATGATTTCACTTATATGCAGAATCCAAAAAACAAAACAAATAAACAAAAGCAGAAATAGACCCATAAATACAAAGAACAAACTGGTGACTTTCAGACGAGGGGGCTTCTGGGCAGCGTGGGGGAAGGGCAGTGGGAGATACGGGCTTCCGGTTATGGAATGAAGAAGTCAGGGGAATATAGTCAATGATACTGTAATAGCATGGTGTGGTGACAGGTGGACGTTAGCCACACTTCTGCTGAGCCTTCCATCATGTATAGAGTTGTGGAATCACTATGTTGCACGCTTGAAACTAATGTAACATTATGTATCAAATCTATTTCAATAAAAAAAAGAATATATTATATATATATATATATATATAATAAAGTCTGGGGAAAAAAGTGGAAGAGTGAACGAGACCAATGAAATCTAACAGAAGAGAAACCAGGACAAGGAGAAGCATTTGAGGGACAGAAGGGAGAATATGCAATCTTCATAAAACTTCACCGGATGGATTTGAACCTTTCATTAGCAACCACAGATGCTTCACACCAAGCTTTTGCTCTTTTCTCAACGATGGCCAGGAGTTCTGCCATAGGACCACCTGTCCTGTCTCTCCCGCCCCCCTTTGTGGAAACAATCGAAAGTCCTACCTTGGCGTCTTCCTTCTGGGTGTCAAGTGTTTCAAACACATCACCTGTGTTTATTCTCACACAGGAATCCTTAGTAGCCTTTTCTTCGCTTTACATCATTTAAAATGTAAACATTTTTAAAAGAGAAGCAAAGCCCATTTAAGACTAAATAACGCTAGCAATGGAGAGCCCAGGAGGACCATGGCAGGGCTTAGAGCCAGGTTCGCCAGGGTGATCTAAGGGGAAAGCCTCGGCCCACGTGCCCCAAATCGACCCTCAGCCGGTCACTTGGCCCTGGGAGTCTCCAGCCCAGAAAACAGCGAATCATTATAAAGCCCTTCAGTTTCTGGGGTACTCACGGAGCTGGATTCCTGAAGGCGAGCGAACAAAGAGCTGTTCTTTGGCATGTTTGTGTTGGACGCCCAAGTGTGTCTGTAAAAGGACGAGTATCTACTAGTAGATTAACAGTAAGAAAAAGTCAAGATTAGGGAGAGGAAAAAAAAAAAAATCTGAGCGTCTGCAGCAGTTCAAACGCCGGGCCTAACTGACTCCTGGCCACCGAGCGACTCGTGCCTCCTCCTGACCTCACTGCTGGTCACCGGGGAGGGGGTGGCCGGGGGGGTCCCTGGGGCGGAGGGCGACAGCCAGCCGGGCTGCAGGGGCAGCGCGGAGGAGGCCCGCTACCCCGTTCCCCTGCTTGCCCCACCCTCCACCCTTGCCCCTGCCGGCATTGTTCCACCCAGTCAAGCCTGTTCAACAATTTCTCTTCTGAAACAGCCCCTTTGATGCAGCCTCATTCTGTGTTCAGTGACATGAAAGAGATACTAATGCCGATTATCAAAGGCATGTGCTCCAAACCGCCGAGCGCCTAATGCCTGAGGGATGTAACTTTATCTCTTCTCCGACTTCCCCATCCTCCCGCTGTGCAGGGCTGGGGGGGGGGGGGGGCAAGAAGCACATCTTTTTTTTCCCCTCCTAATTTCACATCAGATGTTCATCAGAGTGGGGGGGACATGAATTCATACTGTCAGCTTGTAGGTCACACTCAGGCGAACACGCTTCATGGAGCCAAACACCAGGGGAGAAAGCTGACACCCGGGGCTCGCCAGGGAGCTGGCTTGGCCGAGGACGGGCCCGCAGGCCTCTTCCTCCACAGGCCCCCTCGTGTGGGCCCCCTCATGGGGAGAGTGCCACCGCACAGTCCCATGGAAACTTGGGTCAGTCCCTTCCTCGGAACGAAAGATCTGGCACTTTCTGGGACTGGGCTAATGCTTTTCTGCTCTGGACATTCAAGATAGGAGATGTCCAACAACAGGACTGTTGGACACAGCAGGCCTGCAGTGGGATAGTACATAACCATGACAATGACGTGTAGAAGAAAATTTCATGATGGGCAAAAATGCTCATCCTGCATCACTAAAGGGGAAAAGGGAGTACAAAACACCATGTGCAGAATGATTTCAGAATGATGATTTCCGTTTTCTAAAATGAAACGGGGTAGAGTGTGTGTTTGTGTGTGCGCAGAGGAAAGTCAAAAAGGAGTTCTACCAAACTGGCCCCAGTGGTTATGACAGAGCAATGGGACTGTACGTGGCTTTGCTTTGATTTTTTTTCTTTGCTTACATTTATTTCCTAACTTGGCCACAAAGTGCATTATTTCTCTCTGCTATAAAAATGTAGGATTCAACTGACTGATGCATAGTAGGGAAAAGGAAATCGTTCTTTTAAAGAAACTGTCCGTGTGTAGACAGAACATAGCCATACCCAAAGGGACAATTTTTAATTACTTATTTGGATTTTTTTTTTTTTCAAAAGAGCCAGTAACATAGCAAACTTTTCTGCACCTGCTAATTAGATCTGCTGATTCCCCCACCATGTGGCACCAGCAGCAGGGATAGAAACCTCAGTTCAGTTGTGAAAATGAGGTGGCCAAAATGATTCTCACTACCTACCTCAGAGTCATTTTCTCTCAGGCTCTCCAGGGAGGAATGTGTTAGGACCGCACACCTTTATTGCTCCAGTTCTGGGATTAAATGAGGTAATGGAGGAAAATTGCAAATCGCAATTCACCATACAAATGTGGGTCCTTGGGGCTGTTGTCAGCTGTATGGCACCTGGGAGCAGTCTTCACCCCCACCTCAAAGCCTAACCCTCTGTCTCCCATTAGCCTTTGGCGTTTGAGGAGGGCGTGAGTTTCAGGCCTCAGCAGAAGGAATGAAGGGTAAGATGGCCCCTCCCCCGCGGTCTCACTGAAGATGGCTGGGCCCTGGAAGAGCCTGCGGTGTCTGAGAATGGTCTGAGAACCCAGTCTAATAGCAGAAGGACACAGGGAGAGAAACCCAGGGAAGACATAAAGCAAAATGGTCAGTGACCAGATGAGGCTCTTCAGTATCTGACCCACTGAATTCATGATTAGAGGACAGGATGAAAAAGAAAATATTTGTGGGCTAGTATGAGAGTCAAAACTCAACTGGAGTTTCTTGCCATCTAGAAACTACACACACCATAAATATGTGTATATTCCTCTCTCTCTCTCTCTCTCTCTCTCTCTCTCTCACACACACACACACACACACACCCCTGGGCCTGACACTGTCTTCTTCATTCAGTAACTGGTTGGAAAGGCTGTATCAGTGTTAGTTGTGAGCCTCCCTGGGCTTCCCAGCATTAAAGGTATCTGCAGGCCCATGAACAAGCCCAAACACTGAAGGCCGGTCTAGGCAGCAGGCTCGGGGGGTCTGATTTCCCACAACTGTACACGAATGGGTTTGCTGCTGAGAATCAATACTGCAAAGGGCGCTTTCTCACCCTAGCTAAGCTAATATGGTCTCAGGCCCTTCGAACAAAACACAGCCTTGGTTTCTGATGAGCAACCTTATACATGAAAGAATAGAATTAGAGCCAAACAGAACAGCAAGAAATCTAAGTTGATTTCTCCTTCAGTGGAGCTGTAGAAAGTAACTCTTTGCCTTGCTAACCCCTACCAAATACGACCCATCCCAGGCTGAGCATTCACTGAACATTCAGTGTTCCCGAAACACCGGGATAGCATTGCCCCTGGCTCTTCTGCTCTGAGGTCCATCTGGCCAGAGCAGACATACCACCCCTGCCCCCCCCACGCCCCACCTTGTGGTCCAGGACCCTGCATCCTTTCACCGAACTCCCAGCCCAGAATGGTGACTCACTAGGCCACTCTGAGGCTGAACCTCACAGCCTGATCTCGTGGGCCTGCCCTACTCCATGGAACTGTCCTGGTCCTGCAGGCGCCCACCTCTCCTCTGCCCAGAGTCCCCCCATCCCCCACCTCCCCCACCCCACCCCCCAGCTCACGGGCATCTGCTGCCCTCTGCTGCCCCCAAGCGGCCAACAGCAGAGGCCTTCGAAGGGCCTGGAAGGGCCCAGAAGGCTTCCAAGGGCTGCCCCCCCAAACCGGTCCGCTCCACAGCATGGTAAATCTCATTCCAACTGTATGCATTCTCTTTAGGAGGTCAGTGATTCCCCAAACGGAGGTAAAGCTAAGACACACAACTAACTGCATGCCCTTCAGCCAAGGGCTCACCTCCTGGGATTGTTTTTCCTGATGAAGTTTAGCGTAATGAAGAGGAAAAAACACAAAACTACGAATCAAGGGAACCAAGTTCTAGACTTGGTCCTTCCATCTTGCTAACAGGTAACTTAGCTCCCCAGAATGTTCTTCATGAGTAATACCTTTTCTGTCTACTCAGGGGGGTGATTTAAGAAATGCACCCTGGAGCATGGGGACACCTTGACAAAAATAAAGCCCTCCCCAAGTAGGACTCCCAGATGAAACACACTTTGCCCACAGAAACTGGAATGCACAGAAACAATGAGTACTTTTTTAGCGTAAGTACATCTCCAATGTTTCATGGGACAGACTGATAGTGAAAACGTTTTCACCATTTATCTGGAGTTCAAATGTGACTAGGCATTGGTCTGGGGGAGTTTTGTTTGTTTCTTTTTTGTTTTATTTAGAGAGTTTGTTTTTTCCTAAATCTGGCAACTCTATCCCCAAATGTCAGGCATCCCTATGTGAGTAGGACTAACACTCCTTAAACACCTTCCCCACAGTCTGCTTCCCAGCAACACGATCACGTGCACTAACGCATAGCTAGCGTTTTCTTACGGGAAGGAATAGAATGAACCCAGAACTCAGGGGGAAATCAGACCCCCCAGCTGGAGGATGCCTGCGTATGGGAGGTCTGCAGGCGCCGGTACCTCCTTCTGCTTATGCCGGGCACCTTAGGACAAGGGCACCAGCTGGCCTTGGGAGTTGCCTCTTATCTGGTTCCAGCTAATATTTTTCTCAAAGTCAGAGATGAAAAACACTTTTAAAGCCCCAACATGTTTCAGACATCTGTTATTCGTTTTCTTCGTGGTGATTTTGTCTTAATCTTGTCTAAGGGCTCAACCATGCATCTGACTATCTGCTTTAGGTTCTAAGCCGGCGGAGTTCTGGAGTTGGTGTTTCTCCCTAGATGGGAGACATAATGCCTGCATTTGTTCCCAAAGCCACTGGACACACATTGCTTCATTTCATCTTCAAATGTCGGGGGATAACGTGGCACAGAGCAATAGGCCTCAACACTGGCTGCATGCTGGAACTACCTGGGGAGTTTTTTTAAACCCCGATGCCCACACCACACTCCAGACCAGTTACCTCGGAATCTCTGGGGGTGGGAACTCTGGCATTGGCATTTCCCAAGGTCTCCAAGTGACTCTGATGTGCATACAGGACTGAGAAAACTGGTCCAGAACAGTGGTTCTCAAACTGTGGTCCCTGGGCCAGTGGCACGAGCATCCCCTGGGAACTTGTTAGAAATTCACGCCCTTGGGCCCACCCACCCGCTTAATCAGGAACCTGGGGTGGGCTGTCCAGTGATTCTGATGCATCCCGACCATCAAGGACCACTGGTGCAGAGGAAAGTGCAGGCTTTCAAAAGTAAAACAGTTTGGCCCCAGTTGTAACCCCAGAGCTACCACCAAGGACCTCTCAAAATTCAGCTTCTGCATCTGCAAAATGGAGGTGATGCTATCTACCTTGTGCATCTAGTGGGGGCAGATTAAATGAAATCAGGTGCATGAGTTGCCTAGGAAAAAACCTGACAAGAGCTGAGCAAATGCAGTGAGCAGCCCCCCAGTTCACACACATAAAGGGATTTCCTAGGATATTGGTGCTGAAGCCAGGTGGCCATGATTTGGCACTCGGTCAGCACATGGCACTTCCCTCAGAACAACTCTGTGAGGGACGCAGGGCAAGCATCACAGTCCCATCTCACAAGGGGAGGCGCTAAAGGCTCGAAGACGCTTGCCAGAGACGCCACGAGTCTGGTCCAGGCCGGCTAAGCCCGCGGCAGACGGACCCTACTACGGGGCTCTTTCTCTGAACCCGTGTGTCACACCCGTGAGTGATACTAATATCCACCTGGAACTCTAAGCGACAGCACACTGGATTCACACGACAACCTCAGAGGGAGCTGTTATCAGTATCCTCAATGACACAGGGAAATGAGTACCCGGGCCAGCTTCCTGGGGGACAACCTGTGTGGTCACGTG